TCTAAAACTTGACTTAGTTGTAAAGGGAAAAATTCTATTAAACATGGTATCATTTAACATCATAATTGACTAGAATGTTAATGGAAAGAGTGGAGGGGAGGAGAGGAGAGGAAGAATATGAGCCCCCGTTTGGTCCCCATACATTTCATTTTTCTTTATTCTATTTTCAACCACAGAATCTTCCATAAAATAATATTACACGTAAATCGGAAAATTTTCCTTCTTTTTCAATCACTCATTTTTCAAAAAAATACTATTTCACAAAATGGAGGCCAAACGGGGGCTGAATCTGCTTTATCTTTTACTGCCCAGGCTTTGAAGCATTTGCTATTGAGATGTCTCTATTTCTCTTAACTCGATTGTATTCAAAGTTTAACTGAAACCAATGATCCCAGTTGCTACTGTTTATACAAGGTTTGTGATTTGGACTTTGGACAATAAATCCTCCGTTTGCACGACTTTCTAATGTGCACCACAATTTCTTTCTTTTCTTCTATTCTTAATCTTGTGCTGTTAATTATTTTCTTATAGTTCATCACTTTCTGGTGCTGCCTTTAGTTCTTTCACTGTATATTAATTTTTCAACAGGATAACCTTTTGTTTCCACTAATATGTCCTGAGTGGAATGCTGATGAGGAGATATTACTTCTGGAGGTACTACTATATTTGCTTTTATAGTTATTTGGTAATATCTCCTCCTTTCCATAACTCTAGTATTAATATCATATAGTGGCACTATTATTTCCTATCGAACTTACAGTTCTTATTCTTCTTTCTTGTGAAATTCATCGGATAATATTTTCTCCCAGTAGCTCCTTCCTAAATAGTATTGAAGGATAACAATCTTTATCTTTGTCCTGAAAGACTCCTTTTCCATAGGGTATTGAAATGTATGGACTGGGGAATTGGGCTGAAGTTGCAGAACATGTTGGAACAAAAAGTAAGGCGCTCTGTATTGAGCATTATAACACCATCTATATGAAGTCGCCTACCTTTCCTCTTCCGGTATGGGATATTGCCGTCCATAGTGTATTTTTGAAGCTTTTACTTTGAAACTTTAACTTCAGCTAGATTCCATTGTTGGTTTCCCTAGGACATGTCTCATGTTATTGGAAAGAGTAGAGAGGAACTCCTTGCTATGGCCAAAGAACATGCTGAAATCTGTAAAGGTTAGCTTATCAAAATATACGAGCATTGAAATTGAAAATCTTGCAAGAGAAAATTAAATGTCCGGCATCTTTTGTGTATCATATTTGGCGCTTGCCTCATATTCCCTTTCCCTCTGCATCTGCTATCAATTCATTGAAAAAATTAAATATTGTTTGCTTAAGAGAAAGCGACGACTCAATTTATTTTGATTCGAGTGCTACTAAAATCTTATTTTGAACATCATGAATGCTTTTTAGAACTTGAAAACTTTAATAAAGAATTTAATAAAGGAATAATGAAAGTCAAACCATAACTTTTTTTTTTTT